AGAGCTAGATGTGGCTGCAAGTCTCAAATGCCCTTGTCCCCAACCAGCCCACTGCAACCCTCTTCCCCAGCACCCTGAGGCTCCCCCCCCCCCCCCCCCCCCTCCCCCATCACCTCGGTACCCACCGCGCCCCCTCTTCCTCAGCACACGCCCCCCGCCAGTTCCTCCATCACCCGGTGTCCACCACGCCCGAGCGGCTTCCTCTCCTCCCCCACGGCCAGTAGCTCCAGCGCGACCCCTGAGCTCGCCCCTCATGGGCGGCAGGTCCCCTCCGCACCCGCGGCTCCTGCCCCTGCTCGCTCGGGCGGGCCCAGGCGCTGCCCCGGTACCTGGCGCTCCCGCTTGGCCGAGGGCTCCTCTTTCACCTGCGTCACAAACAGGCAGGGCACCTTCCGCTGCACCGAGCCCAGGCGGCTCATGGCCCCGGCTCCCCTCACGCGTAACCGGACCGAGAGCGGAGCCGGAGCCGCCTCCCGCCGGCAGGGCCGGGCCTGCAGCGCGCGCTGGGAAATGGAGTTCGAGGGGCGGCAGCCGCCGAAGGGCCTCGCGGCCTGCAGCTGCGCCCTGCGTGTGTGTGAGTGTCCCGCCCCCCGGGCCCGGCGGGTGTGTCTGTGCGAGAGTTGTAGCCTCCCCGCCGCACAGGGACCGCTCATTGCATCGGTCGCCCTCTGGGAGTTACAGGCCCGCACTCTCCTGCTCTAGGGATGGGAGGGAGGTTAGCCGTGTGGGTGTTACAGCCGCACACTCAAAAAGAACAGGAGTACTTGTGGCACCTTAGAGACTAACAAATTTATTGGAGCATAAGCTTTCATGGGCTACAGCCCACTTCTTCGGATGCACATAGAGTGAAACATATATTGAGGAGATATATATGCACACATACAGAAAGCATGAACAGGTGGGAGTTACATGCTTTCTGTATGTGTGTATATATATCTCCTCAATATATGTTTCACTCTATATGCATCCGAAGAAGTGGGCTGTAGCCCACGAAAGCTTATGCTCCAATAAATTTGTTAGTCTCTAAGGTGCCACAAGTACTCCTGTTCTTTTTGCGGATACAGACTAACACGGCTGCTACTCTGAAGCCCCACACTCCCTTGCTCTAGGGATGGTCGGGGAGTAGCTGTGAGGGTGTTTACACCCCCACATGCCCCTGCCCTAGGAATGATTGAGGGGTAGCTGTGTGGGTATTACAGCCCCACATGCCCCTGCTCTAGGAATGGTTGTGGGGTAGCTGTGTGGGTGTTAGAGCCCCACAGTCCCCTGATGTAGGGAGGTGGGGCGCGAGCCTTCCGCTTGTGTGTTGCAGTTGGAGACCTTCATCGTCTGCCTCAACCTTGGTTCAGCTCAGAAGTAGCCTCAATGTTGTAAGCTGCCTCCGCTGCAGTAGCTCAGCTGCATTTTCTACATCTATGTTGTCCGTGGCTTTCATTATCCTCTATTCAGTAATGTAAACACATCTTTACTCGCTGACTTTCCAGGCATGGAAGGGTAGATGAAACTCAGTGAAACCTGGTTATGGGAAAAGATAGAAATGAGACATTGGGTATATGGACAGGACTGGGCTGAGAGCAGTGATGGCTGCTTTCTCAGAAAAAACATAAACTAAATATATGTCACTGGAAAATGTTGCTGGTTCCAACTCAATATATTGTGAGGGTCCTGTCCTATTTCCCTGTGTAAGAATTTCTCAAGTACTAGCATGTGCTGTATGGTACTTCTTTGTGGAATGCCAATTTCCTAAACTGTTCTCAACAAGGCCTATCCAAGTACCAGGACATTTTATTATTTATTTTATGTATTTATTATTATTGTTAACAATACCATTTTTAATATGGAGGACTGTGTGGAGTCAAGACTTCTGTGTTCTATTCCTAGCTCTCCCACAGACTTGCTGTGTGACCTTATGGAAGTAACTGGTCTGTACCTCAGTTTCCACATCTATAAGAAGTGGAATAGTGCTCAATTAACATTTCTAAAGTGATTTGAAATCACAGAGAGAAAGCAGAATCATCTCAGGTCATAAACATCACAAAATAATTTGATTTATTAAAACTAATTTGGTTCTGGAGTTGGCCTCTGCATATTTCTTATTATGAGATAAACCCACTGGCACTGTTGAGCTTCAGAAATCTGCTGGAAAGCAGCACCCACTGAGATTCCTCAAACACCCTCTCACAGCTCTGAATATTTGGATCTGAGGATATAAAAGGGCTATGCAGAGCTAATTATTTCAGTTCTTTTCTTACCACAGCCAGTCGATAAAAAGTTCTATGTGCATATAAATAAAAAGAAAACAAGGGAAGAAGAATTGGGACTGCTAAGCAGTAAAGATGGGGTGGAGATCAATCTAGGAATGGTCCAACACCTAAATAAATACTTCACCTCAGTTTTTAATAAGGGTAACGAGGAGCTTAGGGATAGTGGCAGAGTGGTTAATGGAAATTACTATATCCGAGGGGGAAGTCAAACACAAACTGCATAATGGGACTAAATCAGGGGGCCTGGATAATTTCCATCCAAGAATATTAAAGGATCTGGCACATGAAATTGCAAGCCCAATAGCAAGGATTTTTTAATGAATTTGTAAACTTGGGTGTTGTACCCTCTGACTTTAGGATTGCTAATATAGGACCTATTTTTAGGAAAGGAGGGGGGAAGTGATCTGGGAAACTACAGGCCTGTTAGTTTGACTTCAATTGCATGCAAGGTCTTAGTACAAATTTTGAAAGACAAAGTAGTTAAGGACATAGAGATAAACGGAAATAGGGATAAACTACAACATGATTTTACAAAAGGTAGATTGTGTCAGACCAACCTGATCTTTTTCTTTGAGAAGATAACTGATTTTTTAGACAGAGGGAATACAGTAAATCTAATCAGTAAGGCATTTAATACAATTCCACTTGGGAAATTATTAGTTAAATTGGAGAAGATGGGGATTGATATGAGAATTGAAAGGTAGATAAGGAATTGGTTAAAGGGGCGAGGGTGACTATAGCAGGTCATAGTGAAAGGTGAACTGTCAGACTGGAGGGAGATCACTAGTGGAGTTCCTCAGGGATCTGTCTTGGGCTCAGTCTTACTTAACATTTTTGTTGATGACCTTGGCACAAAAAGTGGGAGTGTGCTAATAAAATCTGTGGATGACACAAAGTTGGGAGGTATTGCCAATACAGAGGAGGACTGGAATATCAAACAAGAAGATCTGGACAACCTTGAAAACTGGAGTAATAGAAATGGGATGAAATTTAATAGCACAAAGTGCAAGGTCATGCACTTAGGGACTAAAAAGATTTTTTGCTATAAACTGGGGATTTATCTGTTGGAAGCAACAGAGGAGGAGAAAGACTTAGGTGTATTAGTTGGTCACAAGATGACTGAGGTGCCAATGTGATGTGGCCATGAAAAAGTCTAATGTAGTCCCTAAGATTCATCAGGTGAGGTACTTCCAGTAGAGATAGGGAAGTGTTTGTACAATTATACAAGACACTGGTGAGACCTCATCTGGAATAACATGTAATTCTGGTCTTCCAAATTTAAAAAAGAAGAATTCAGACTGAAATGGGTGCAAAGAAGGGCTACTAGGATGATCCAAGGAATGGAAAACCTACCTAATGAGAGGAGACTCAAAGAGCTTGGCTTGTTTAGCTTAACCAAATGAAGTCTGAGGGGAGATATGATTGCTTTCTGTAAATATCAGGGAGGGAGAGGAGTTATTTAAATTAAGCACCAGTGTTGACACAAGAACAAATGGATATAAACTGACCACCTACAAGTTTATGCTTGAAATTAGACAAAGGTTTCAAGCCATCAGAGGAGTGAAATTCTGCAACGGCCTTCCAAAGGGAGCAGTGGTGGCAAGAAACCTAACTGGCTTCAAGACTGAACTTGATACATTTATGGAGGGGATGGTATGATGACTGCCAATAATGGCATGTAGCTGATCTGCGACTGCTAGTAGCAAATATCCCCAGTGGCTGGTGATGGGACACTAGATGGGTAGGTCACTGAGATACTACAGAAAATTCTTTTCCAGATGTCTGGCTGGGTTCGCAGAGTCCTAGAGCCTGGGCTCCACCCCAAGCCCAAGTTTCTACACCGTAATTCAACAGCCCTTTAGTCTGAGCCTCGCAAGCCCAAGTCTACTGGCACGGGAGGTGGGGAGTCCGTTAGCATCCCTGCAATCATTGGACAAACAACAATCTGTAACCCACTAACTCCCTCTTTTTGTCCTATGACTGCAGCAGTGTTAATGGGCCACTCTGCTTTCAATGGTCCCTTACATAACTACTTATGCTAAATACTCTGTTCCACCTTGCATTTTCCTTTGACCTGAGAGTTCCTTCCCCAGACTTGAAAAAGAGCTGTGTGTGGCTCAAAAGCTTGTCTCTCTCACCAACAGAAGTTGGTCCCATAAAAGATATTACCTCACCCACCTTGTCTCTCTAATATCCTGGGATCGATACGGCTACAAACTATACATGTTCCTGCATCAAATATTTATGTGAATGTTGTATATTCTCTAACTCATGTGAATTATGTTTCAATCTGTTTTGAATCAGAGAAACACTAGGATAACAGACTATTTGGAACAACTTCATTTTTTTCTATTTTACTCAACAGCAATGGAAATAAGTGAGCAGTCCCAGTCTAAACGGTCATGTGATGTCATTTATGATGATGTCATAAGAACTAAAGTAACAATGAGAGAAATTCTGGAAGTTTGAATTTGTGCACTCACTAGCAACCACTTTCAATGTTTCATCACTTCGGCAAACCTGGAGAAGGTACCGTCTGATTTGTAATTAGTTTAAATATAATTTTGAGATATACTATAATTGGAGGTCTGTTTTTAAAAGGAAATAGAGCTTAGATCCTGAAAACCACTGTCTTCAGAAAAAGGAGTTTTGTTTCCATACACATTGGTAGTTCTTACCTGTACGTTTATACTCTTCTTGTATAAAGACAGTGGAGTAGAAGTACAAGAGGTGACAATGGCAGAAGTTGGGAATGACTGCTATTTCTATTTTTATTCCACCTGCATAAAGGTAAATATTGTAGAATTTACAGTGGTTTGCATCTTTGATTTTCCTGCTGTAAGGAGGAGTTTATCGTTTGAACTTACGTCTCTTCTTTATATACTGATATATATGTCACTCTGTGTGTGTCTCCATACATGTATATTTGACATACCATAGGTCCTGATTTTGAGAGATGATGAGGACCTGCAGTTTCCATTCACCTCAGATTGATTTGTGGGTGCTCATTAGTTCTGAAAATCAAGCTCACACTCTAAAGGGGTTTAATTCATGAAAAATGTGCACTGTGCAAGGTGGACTTTTGTAAACACTACATAAAGATCACTCAACACACTTCTGTTTCATTTAAACAACTTTTTTATAACCTGTGATAAACAACATTTATAAATTTGTTAGACAACAGGAACTTTGCCTGGTATTGATAGTGTGACTAACTGACTTTCCTTAATACTGCTTTTTTGAAATCACATCATTCCTGATATCAAAGGGGTAGCCGTGTTAGTCTGGATCTGTAAAAAGCAACAAAGAGTCCTGTGGCACCTTATAGACTAACAGATGTATTGGAGCATAAGCTTTCATGGGTGAATACCCACTTTGTCAGACACATGACATTCCTGATGTTATCACCCTTTGAATAAGTGCTTGTGAGAATGGGCCCAGTAGGCAAAGTCAATGGGGTGATGCAGAAGTCTATGTTAGTACATCCAGTTGCAGGATTAGGACCTTAGTGAATAGGTATTACTTTCAGTACAAATCCCTAGCATATGTTACCAGTCTGGCCAGCTGCAGTGATTTTATTTAATAAAGTAGTGCATTTTACAGACAGTACTCCTTGGCCCTATTATAATTAATGTCTTTTATGATGCTCTGAAAAGAGGAGTAAATGGTATTAAAATTCACAGATGTTACTAAATTAGGAGGTGTTCCAAACTCCAAAAATGGTAGAGGAATAACAGAAAGAAAATAAAATGAAATTTAACCTGGACAAATGCTAGCTAACACAAGAGAGCATTTAAGTAGTATGCATCATACCACTCCATGCTCCCAGGTGGTGAAACTACATCTATAAGACTGCATGTAGTGGTGGGCACTTCAGAACCAGAAAGATATTGACCGGCTGGATGGAATCAAAGAAAGAGAACAAAATGATTAAATAGCTGGAATGTTTGATTTATGAGAAAAGATTAAGGATCAATCTCTCAATCTGCTAAATTTACTTTGTGCTGCATAACACCAGCTGCCCCGATATCCCTGCTGTAAGGGTGAGGAAAGAGTTGTGTCAGTTGGTGACTGGGGCTGGCATGGGGGATGTGGTTGAGCTGAGCTTCTCTAAGCCTGATCTCCTGCTTTCTTAAGCCCCATTATAGGTTTTACACTAGCTGCGGATGTTAGAAAATGCCCCCTGCTACTCTGACGTCCTGTGACTGCCACTGCCCACTACCTTGAGCATAGCTCTTATGTAATGGAGAATAGGGTACTGAAAGAACAAAATCTATGTAGTTTGCTTAGTGATTACTATGGGAGAGTTATGTTAACATTTGCTAGTATCTGAGAGCAGTATAAACAACAAGGAGGGTGAGGAATTGCTTAGGGTGATCCAGGGATATAAATAGGTGTAAAGGGATAGAGCTGGGCAAGAGAAATTTAGTTCAAATATCAGGAAAACAGTAATACCCAGTAGACTGTGGAATAGTCTCCCAAGTTCATAAGTAATGGGAGCCCCATATCTTCAGGTATTTAAACTAGACTGGACATAGCAATTATGGCATAATTCATTATCAGGACCTGATTTTCCCCCCATTTACACTGGCATAAATCAGTTGCAGTTCCATTGAGGCCAATGGCCTCTTCTGCCCTCAACCGCACATGTGTAACTCCCACTGGCTTGGGATTTTTACCTGTGCAGCAGAATTGGGCATAGTGGAGCTACCATCAGTGAATCAGGTCCTAAATTTTTTCCGTTGCTTGCAGGTATGTTGTCACAACAGTAATACAGACTAGTGTATTGTCCACTTCCTCATTAATAAAGAAGATATAAACCAACTACTGACGCATCTAACATCATACAATTTTGACTTGTCTTTTTTCTGTGTTAGGGTTCCAAGTGCCGATTCCGTCACTGTGAAAAAGCCCTTGGCAGTGAGATTGTGTGCTCATTATGGAGAGAGGGAAGGTGTTCACATCAGCTTTGCCGATTTAGACATATGGAAATACAGGTAGATAAGTTTCTTGAAGTACACTCATTCTTAAAGCAAAACTGGCCCTCACTTCTGTTAAACTTCACATCTAACACCCAAGTTCATATTCAAATATGAAGACCTTGTGGCACCCAGATACAAGCTTTTTTTTATTTTTCCAAGTCTGTGGCTAGCATGCACTGCAAGCTTTAAAACTTGTATTGATTCAAAGTCAGTCACTGGATGTTAATTGCTTTTCTGATTTTCCTTTCATAATAATAATAATTAATAATATCCTTTTTATAATAAAAGAATACAAATGTAATACTTTGAACTTATACAGCAGATTTCATCCAAGGCTCTCAAAACACATTACAAACATGAATGTATTTAGTTTCACAACATGCCTGTGAGGTAGGTATTATTATCCCTATTTTACAGATAAGGAAACCAAGCGCTAGTCTAGATGAACAGTTAGTGCGCAGTAAGTGCGGGAATAAGTCTACCTCACATTAGTGTGATGCACGCTAACTGTCCATGTGGACCCTGCTACCACACACTAAAAGTTCTCTAGTTCACTTTATTCTGTTCCCATTTCAAAGCAGAGTAGATCAAAGCACATTATGGAACTTTTAATGTGTGGTAGCAGGGTCCACATGTACAGTTAGTGTGCGGCACACTAATGTGAGATAGATTTACACCCCAGCTGGCTGCGCACTAACTGTTCAAATAGACAAGCCCTGAGACACAAAAATTAAGTGAATTTGGGGTATTAGAAAATTAATGTTTTTTTTCTAAGCATCTCAGAAAGTCTGTAGCAGAGCCAGGAGTAGAATCCATTGCCTTGATTCTGATCTGACACCATTATAACTCCATTGATCTCAGTGAAGAAATTCCTAATTTACACTGTTGTAAAAGATCAGAATCAGGTCTCATGTATCCTAGTCCTATGCCTTCACAACAATACCATATTTCTTCTTTTTTAACTGATATATGGTACTAATCAGTGTTCTGTCCATTATTTTTTGTTGTTTGTTATAATCATCATATCTGAAAACTGTCCCTTTTTTATTTTTCCTGTAGCAAAAATACAACAGAATCTCATGTTTCTGGGAAACACAGCCTTTAGGCTGTGTGAGGATCAGTTGTGTCTTCCATCATAGCAAACCTCGTAATATAAATGGACTTTTTTTGCCACCTAGTAGCAGTGAGTAAAACTATTTTCTCAATAATTTGCACATTGAAATAGATATGCTATAAATGTATTGGCCACTTCTAGTGTTGATATAAACCTTTGTAGGTGAAGAAAGACAGCATTGCAGATTGGGTGGAATATGATCTGAAGTCAAGGTTAGTAAAGGACTTATGGTTATGTTTGACTAGGGTTCCCATAGGAATTTCTTTGGCCATTGTGTTAGGAATTTCTGTAGGTAACAGTTACATCAAAGGTGATGTACTGAGTAGCAACTCAAATTTTAATCCATTTGTCTCACAAGTGAAAAATTATACACCGTAACATTTTACATGCTATGTGTATCCTTGATGTGCTGAATGACAGTCATGTGAGGCAGTGATTTGTGTATAAGCAGTCAAATCTAGTTTGAAGAGTTTGTGTTATAGGAAATCCCTGTACTTTTTACTACCTCTGTAAAGCTTTGGGCCTTGCTAATACCCACTCTCATCCACTTCCAACTCCATAATGGCCTCTACACTGACAGTGAGGTCTCTTCAGGGCTTCACTCAAACACAGGAGCTGAATGTTAAAGCAGTACAGTACTTTCTTCACAGCGTATAGTATTCATTTGGGGTCATTTATGCAGTCACAATTTTAGAAGAATGTATACTGTACATTACTGCATGGCCATGATTCATTGGTTAACCATACATGACTAGTGGATTGCAACTGTGTGGGCAGCAGTTACACCTTCTCTCGCTATTCTTTTTAATTTCCCCCCACTCCCTCACATACATACAAATCAAGGAAGCCTTCTAAAACAACATCTGAAATAATCCATTCCATCTGTGGGAATGATCTACTGATCTTAATATAGAAAGAAATAATCAAAATTTTTCTCCTTCTCTCCTGTCAACTGCTGGCTGTTCTGCTCACATTCCTGATACAAATGATCTAATTTATACATCTGAAGAGGGTGAGGGTATGTAAAAATTTCTCACTTATAAGTTCAAAGCAGGTAACCAGCCGAATGTCAATAAAAAAATAAGAACTCATCCTCCTGCACCGGTTTTACAGCATTTCTTGGCATTTGGGAGAACACTGTGTTTTCAAAGTGGGGTTCTGGCTGAATGGAAAACTTTTTATTTTAAGATTCCGTTCAGTAATGGAGCAGGTGATTAGATGTTGATTAAATGGTTAGCTTTGCCAAATGGGAATGTTTTTGAGACAAGTGCCTCATAGTTACAGTGAACCAGAGAGTTAGAATCTATGTAAACCTTTTCCTGGTGTAAAACACAGCATTCACAGTGGCCACAACATGGTGTATGCTACTCCAGAAATTAAAATACAATGAACAAATGAAATAGGAGAGAACTGATTTTTGCCCTTGCAAATACAGGCTAGCTAAGTAAAGATAAATTTTAGATTCCATCAATTGCCTTCAATTATTAAACAGTCTGAGGTGGGGAAGAGAGTTAGCACATAGTAACTATGGTGATGAAAATAGAAAATCTCAAAATGAAGGACAGATTAGATTTAGCAGATAGGAATAGCAATAAAATGTTCACAAAAACCAACACCTACAAACATTTACTATTTCATATTTTGGTTTACTCAGAATGTTTACTATTTTTTATTATTTTTACTATTCATAAAATAATGAAAAAGTTTAGAAACCTAGGCAATATTTTAAAAGAAAAAGGTTCTTTGCTGGGTGTCATGTCACCAGCAGTCTATGATGGGACATCACCCCAAGTCATGGAAATTTTAAATTGCATATGTATGAAATGGCCCTCATTTGGAGACAGTTAAAAATAATTTCTAATGCTGCATCACGTGTGCAAGTCACTTTTAAGTGTTTTTCCCCCTTAATTGACTTCAATTAAGCCTTTCAGGCTGGGCACGTGGGGATGGGGGTAGGGAGAGAATATGTGAAGCAAATACTTCTTAATTATGATTTCTCTTTTACTCTCTGATTTCCAGAAATCCAGACTATTTCTGGAAAAATGGCTAGTACTTTTTCAACCCTTCCTAAAGCAAAACTCCTACCAACTTTAATGAAGTTTTGCCTGAGTTAGGTCTTCAGGATTGGGATCACCATATGTACACATCCAGACTCTGGAGCCAAAGCTACTGCATATGATATTCTTAAAGAATACAAGGTTGTATTTTGTGGAGTAGGTTGTTTCATGTAAAGGTAGACCTCAGTGTCCCTCTTATGGATCTGTAAACCAAGAAAAGTGACTGTAGCCTTAAGGCAAAATATTAAAGACCAACTCAACTTCATAGAATGGGATGGTGTCAGTGAGTGTGTCACAGACCCTACTGATTGAGGTCAACATTTGGATCAATATGGACGCTAAAGATATCGGGCTCATGCTGAAGTCAGTGGAATAATAACTTCAGTGGGAGTGTTATGTAGCCCTTAAACAATACATGTGTGATGAATCTTCAGTTCATATTTGACTTAAGTATGACTCTAGACCAGGGCTTGGCCTTCACACTGCATATTGACCCTAGGTTTAGAATTTCTTGACCTGGGCTGCAAATCTGGGGCTCCAGTGTCCGCACTGCAATACTCAGTCCCGAGTCAAACCACTGTTTCTCAGGCATCCTAGTGCCCTCTGCAGCTGTAGCCATTCCAGCCCCTGGTTACTGTTGCAGTGTGGGAAAACTTGACTGTCTACCCCACACGTTACAGGAAGTTGTTGCAGTCTGCCACGTTAGCAATAGATCTTGGCAAGCCTTTTTCAGCAAACAGGCAAAGCATCCATGAGATGCTGGTGGATGTTCTGTAGGTGGTTTCTGACCTACTAAAGGTGCCTGATGGAAGAGGAGGATGATACAGACATGGAAGAATCAGACTGGCTGATGCTGCTCACAACTCTTGCTGTAGCTGGTGATTCCCCCCATGTAGACCAGAGCTTCTGGAGCAGGGGCCCAAGCACAGACTGGTAGGATCACATTGTCATGCAGACCTGGGATGACCAGTAGTGGGTCCAGAACTTTTACATGAAGAAAACTACATTTCTGGAACTTTGTGAGCAGCTCGCACCTACACTCCAGTGTAAAGACATGCATGAGGGCAGCCATACTGGTCCAGAAGTGGGCTGCTATAATTGTCTGGAATCTGATTACCACAGACTGCTACAAGTCTGTTGCTAACCAGTTCAGCATTGAAAAGTCAACCATGTGTAGAATATCAGGGTTGGAAGGGACCTCAGGAGGTCATCTAGTCCAACTCCCTGCTCAAAGCAGGACCAACCCCCAGACAGATTTTTGCCCCAGATCCCTAAATGGCCCCCTCAAGGATTGAGCTCACAGCCCTGGGTTTAACAGGCCAATGCTCAAACCACTGAGCTATCCCCCCCATGTAAAGTGGTTACAGAGGTTTCAGACGCAGTCAGGCACGTGATTTACCCAAAGGTGGTGGGCGTAAACAAATATCCCTTAAGTAATTGCTGGTTTTGAGAGAATGGGGTTTCCAGACTGTGCCAGGGCCATTGATGGGACTCATGTGCCCACAGTTTGACCTCCTCAAGGAGTACATGAGTGCATAAACTGCAAAGGGTACTACTCCATTATTATGCAGGCCCTCGTGGACCACAGAGGCTGATTTATGGATACCAGTGTGGGCTACACTGGAAATGTTCATGATGCCAGGGTTTTCCACTGATCGGGAATCTACATTCATGGACAGGTTGGGACACTGTTCCCACCAAATGACATTGTCATAAATGGAGTTACTATCCCCACTTATTTTAGAGTATCCAGTGTAACCCCTTTTTCTTTTGCTTATGAAATCATGTTGTGATAAGAGTCCCTAGCAAAAGAAGGTTTAGTTACACTCTGAGTATGTGTGGAATGGTGGTTGAATGTGCATTTAGCAGATTAAAATCCCACTGGTGTTGTTTACAGACACGTTAGGATTCCAGCATCAGCAATGCTGTCTGTATTATTTTGGCTTGCTGTGTTCTTCAAAATCTTTGTACAGTCCCCTATTAGCAGATACATACTGCTGCCTGGAGCTTGCAATAAATTTTGCATTGGGTAATAAACTGGAAATCCCTCCCATAAACTGGAAATCACTCCCATCCCTATATTAATAACAACAAACATGGATCCAGAAACTTACCAGGCTCAGGGGCTACTTCTGCCTCTTGTGTTTCTGATGCCGGTTCCGTGGTGGACAGCTCTTCCAGAGAGGCATCAAAAAGTTCTTCAGAGTAGGGACCCAGAATGTGCTACAGCTGCTCTGGGGGACTGGTCTGGGTACAAGAGTCACTTGGTCAGCTTCAGCCAGCACTTGCTGGCTCCCTTTTGGTCCTATACTGTATTCAGGGGTGAGACCATAAAGCACTGGTGGCTCAGTGCTCGGCACAGTACACAGCACCTGGTCAAACTCCTTGTAAAAGTGGCAGGATGACAGCGAGTTCCCAGAGATCCAGTTCTCATCCCTAGCTTTCCGGGAGTTGGTCTTGAACTGCTTAATCTGCGCCCTGCACTGGTCACTGGTCCAGTGAATCCTCAGCACTGCCAGTTTCTTCACTATTAGCTGGTATGCATGCTCATTCCTGGAATTCTTGCGAAAGTTGAACTGTTTGCTCACCTTGCACCAGAGATTAAGCAAAATGTGGTGGTGCTCCCATGACCAGATAGCAGCATGCTTGGCAAAAGACTTCTTGATGGCGGTGACCATTACAAATGCAGGAGATGGGTCACTCTGCTTGCAGCTCTGTGGGCAGAATAAAATGGAAGGGTTAAACGCTGAGCAGTTGCATTTGAACCAGGAGGGTTGCAATTGAACCAGGAGTCGATTGGCCAGTCTTGGGATAGGAAAGACAAAGGACATGTCCATGGGGTTGTGAGATGGGGTTGGTGGACTCTCAGGACCCGAATCTGGGGGACCCGGGCCTGAGCTGCCTCTACAATGCAAAACAATGGAGTTTGGGCCGAAGCCTCTGTTGGACTCAGGCTTGAATCCTCCATTCCTGTGGGATCCTGGGGTTTGGACAGAGTTAGACAGAACTGTGTGCAGGTGAAGGGGGATTTGGGCCTGAGCCAGAGCCCAGTCAGTGTAGACATGCCCCTAAAAAGGGGCAGGAGTAGGCAAAGTTATTTATACCTCCCCATCCACACACCAGCCAGAAGAGATGGCCAGCCACTGGAAGGACTGTATGCTATTTCCTACTCAGAGCTGGTGCAATGGTGTGTTATCCTTGCATGCTGAAAATCTCTGGGAGGCACTGTGTGTCCCTGAGTCACCATGTCTCCCCCTATTCCTTCTGCTGTGGAGACACATTTCTGCCAACCTCCTTCCCAGTACAGTGCCTAAAAGACACAGTTTGGCAATTTGTGGCTTTGTCAAATACGATTATGATTTCAAATGTATAACAAACTGATCAGAACCTGATTTTGGTGTTCTAGTGCCTTATTAACAGACTGAACTTCATGTACTTTCCTATAGATGGCACACTCCAAAAGGAAGTTCAAGAAGGAACTCTGCATCCTGCCCACACTCAAGAACCCCTAAAAGGTCAAGAAAGCATTTTAAGACCCATTCATCCTCCACTGATCATAAACATCAGCCTAGAGGAGGAAGAGGAAGAGGAAGAAGAGGAGAACTGTAAATATGACTTTTTTTCTGAAATCTGAAACTAAAATGGATTTTCTCAAATAATTTGCAAAATGGTTGCCAACAGATTTTTGGCTGTTTTCAACAATCATGCCATTTTTGAGGAAAGAGGTCAAATATTTGGGAATAACCTCATTACAACTCATTTTATAATTATCTTTATTTTATTGTACAAAACACATAGTAAATGTAGACTCTCATCAATAAACTTTCAAAATATCTAATATCTATTTTTTCTTACTGATATAATTCTCATACTCTTTTTTCCTTAATTAGAAATGGATCCAAGTGCCACAATTCACCTGGCATTGAAATACAACAATTCAGATACAGATCCAAACTTTCTCAAAGTTCAGGGATGTTCAGACTTATTTGGCTCTATCTGTAATTTAAATGATCATTTTACTAATTGAAAAGGTTCTTTTATTTCTCCCAAGGCTCTTAGATTTATCACTGTATATGTTTGATCAGGATGCTAATTTTATTTTGTGCTTTAGCTTTAACAAAAAACATGTTAGCTGTTGCTAGGTGGCATTTAGTTGAGAATTTAAAGTATCTGCAGCAGTTCAGAGATGATGTAATTTTTATGCCAAACAAGAAGACTTAGAGTTCTATCCAGCCTAAAGTCATTTCCATGCTTGCTGTTCTACAGAGGTTGTACAAACCTCATGGACTACACCTGCCCTTGAAATTACCCCTATTCTTAGTGTGTACTTACCTTTCTGAAGAGGCTGCTTGCATATAGTTGCATACAACTATTCAACCTAGGGCTAGGGTCATAGCCACAGGGCTTGTCTACATAAGAAAGTTGCACCACTTTAATTTGTACGCAGTATTCGAGATGAGGGTGTACCATCGATTTATATAAGGGCAATAATATATTCTCAGTCTTATTCTCTATCCCCTTTTTAATGATTCCTAACATCCTGTTTGCTTTTTTGACCGCCTCTGCACACTGCGTGGACATTTTCAGAGAACTATCCACGATGACTCCAAGATCTTTTTCCTGACTTGTTGTAGCTAAATTAGCCCCCATCATATTGTATGTATAGTTGGGGTTATTTTTTCCAATTACTTTACATTTATCCACATTAAATTTCATTTGTCATTTTGTTGCCCAATCATTTAAATCAGTTTTATTTCTCACCCCTACGTAGACAGTCCTATTTTGGTTGTGCTTCTGAACTAAATCACTCTTAAACTGAAATAAGAGTGTCCACACATGGGTTTGCACTGAATTGACTAAATTGATTCAAAAACAAATAGTTAATTATATATGTCCAGCTTCCTTGTGAAGACAAGGCTTTAGCCAAGTGTCTTATGAATGTGCAGAATATGCTCAGTGCGTCCCCAGATAGCCTATCAGAGAATAGGTCATTCAACTCAAGTATTTATTTACCCACTCAAGATCACTTCCTTTTATGTGTGATTGTATGGTTGTTTTGATAGGACTGAAGAAAGGCTTTTGAATTATTTTTAATTTAATCACCATCTAAAATAAACATCAATAATGGTAAACCTTTTGACTTTCATTGTAACTAAGACAATATTGGTCATAAAAATATCTATCAATAAGCAATAGTTTTTCTGTCCAGAAAGCAGAGGGCTGGGATACACTAGCAATAGGAAAGGGGGGGGAAAGTTACTTCATTTTATAATGAAATTGTTTATATTTAAGAATAGTGCATTAACAAATCCTGAGGTGTCTGTACTCAGGTATAGTTCTCTCTTTTAAAAATATTTCCTATAGATGCCTCTTATTTATTGACAAAGACTCCGGCAGACATTGAGGAAGAAAAAGCAATAAAGGAGATGTGTTATAAATCTGGTAAATATATAATTATTGATAATTTAAAAAATATTAATATAATCAGTAAGTAAAGACAATTTTTTCTTTCTTTTGGGGGGCATGAGTAGGAGAATATTACAGAATTCAGACTCCTCAGGAGAACCAGTCAGCAAAAATCATGTCTTCAACACTGGATAATGAGCTATTGAAACCCATGGAAACTGGCAGAGACTTACAGGAAGGTAAGTACTTGAGTGGTAACGCTTTTCACTTCAAGGATAATGTTTATATATATGTAATTACATAGAAAGACACCATCAGGTAGTTTAGATCCAAATATTAGGTTTTGCAAATTTAGAAAAAAAGAATTATACAAATAAAACCAATAGAAATATTTTTGTGACTTTTTTAATTAAATGGAAACAGCATAGACATGGTGACGAGGATGGGACACCTGCATTGACTACAGAATGATGAAATAAGGCCAGGTCAATTGAGTAGAACCAAGGTTAACATCTTGTACTTTCCTGAACTCCATGGCATGCATCTCTGCTACAATTTGTCTTCTAGTATCTTTTGAAATAAGGTTACAATCTCTTTTTTTTATTGGGCCTGCTACAACACATCTGAGCTCCAAGGCACATGAATTAATGAACATTTATTCCACTCAAGATTTTAAAGAGTTTTTCTTTTTCCCCGTTAGCCAGGTGGTATGCCTGCAAAAATCAATGTCAGCTTTTATTATTATAATAGGTGATAGTATTGCTGCTTCTTAACAGAGTGATTTATGCTCTGAACATTCCCGGACGTTAGTGTAATTAGTGTGTTGGCCATTAAAGTGTTTGAGAAAGAAGTGAGATGTTAGTATTAGTAACACATTTATCATTGCCATAAAGTTGTTTACAACAAAATGGAAAACTTCATGGATAACCATCTGGATCTACAATGACATATAAAGAAAATTGAAGCAGGAAAATAGTGAACAATAATGAAGAACTGCAAAGTGAAAGAGAGTATATTATTTTGGTTCAGATAGAGATAATCTGAGATAATATTGGTTGGTAAAAGTATTATATTTTTGGACCTCTGGTTTTTACCAATTTAACCTTTTTAATAGGCTTGAAGAGAGAGAAAAAATAGTTTCTCTCCACAATATCCTGTGAATTTTGTCTTGGGAGTATAGGTATTTCCGTTAAAGTACTTTTGAGGAGGTTATATTTATATTCATAAACATCAATCATGTGATCTGAGTAGTTATAATATTAACCTCTTTGCAGCTCTCCTATAGCCTGTGTGTGGTGGCACTTCACAGGAATCGTGTAATGTGTATTTCATGTACTTACAGTGCATAAGTTACATTACAAAGTACCCAAATGACTTAATAAAAGTGGAAAGGAGAATATTTAAGGAGAGGTTAGAGGAAATATACTCTAAACCAATGATTAAGTCATAGAGAGTGGTGTGGGAGGAGAGTGACATTATCTTCAAAAAGGAAAGTTTATAATGGCACAGAGCAGTCAGTTATGAATATCACAATGTCTAACTATACTTCTTGGGATGCAGTCAGGTTCTGTTCACTTTTATGATATTCGTTAGCAAAAGCAACACTAACTTGGATCCATAATCTGACCTCACTGGGTATGTCTACACTGCATCTGGGAGTGAGCCGCCCAGCTTGGGTCCACAGACTTGTGTTAGTGGGTGCTCATGCTAGCATTCTAAAAATAGCTATGTAGACAGTGCTTCAGAGCCCAAGCTCCAGCATCCGTTACAATGTCTACACAGCTATTTTTAAAGCTCTAACACGAGCCCATCTACCACACATCTGTGGACCAGGATTGGGAGGCTTGCTCCCAGAGGCAGTGTAGAAATGCTCACTGAGGCCCCAGAAACCTTAGGCAGATCTTTCCTGTTAAGACCTGTGCGAGACAAAAGTCAGGGAATTTATTAAAGCATACTGCCCATATCCCCCACCGCAGGATCCCACCTCCGTGGGTCTGGCTGTGGAGTGTCTGTGGAATATGAACTCTGTGGATTTGACAGGAGGCTGGAGCAGTTGCATCCTATGAGGATACTTCCTTTCGTAGGTCTGAATTTTGACCAAATCTGCTGATGAATAAAAATGTGCTGGTGATCTGTCATTGTTTACAGAAAGAAATAATACAAGTAGAATTAAATTAATTATGCTGAAGTGAAGTGGCTAATCATTTGCAGTACAATTAAATATGTTTGATATATGTGCAATAAACATGATTTGCTCAGATATCAATTCAAAAGTTTTAGTACATTGTATTTTTGAAATACCTCTGTCAGAGATAGGGGTTTACCCTCAACTTTATACTCTGAGATTTAATTCTATTAATCCTTTAAGCATTCATGCAAGTTTTGCTCATAATTCAGAAATGCTTGCAGATGTGTCTATCCATAAAATCAGTCAGTGTGCACAAATGTCCATGATGCACAGTGCTATCCATAACTTTGTTTACTCTCCCAAGCTCATTCATCTATCATAAATGCACTGACTCCACATAACTAAGCCAAAAAAACCCCTCTGTTTTCTTTCCAGGTGATGGTGTTACAGTTCCAACAAAGTTTAATATTATAGAAAGACAAGGAGAGGTAACAGCATCATTAGATGGTAACACCAGGACTGATCTTGGTACCTTTGAAAATGGAGGTAATTACTTTAAAATATGTGTTCTCATTATCTAATATCCTTTGGTAGATAAAATAATTTCCAAATATACCTTTCATGGAATTTATTTCTGTATTTTCTGTAAAGTCTTTTTATTTTTAATGCTGTTAATAAAAAAATTATTACTGTTGTATTTGAATTCCACCCATCTCAGTAACATAATGAAAAAATATTTTCAGTTTGGTGACTCCACTTAATTGGATTTTAATTTAATCTTGAAAAAGAGATTGTTTCTTAGAGCTACGCTGGCTGCAAAGAAACTCAGACACGCATGACAGTCAGATATAACGGGTATACTAAACTTTCAGAAATTGCTATACACCTCTACCCCGATATAACTCGACCCAATATAACACGAATTCGGATATAAGGCAGTAAATCAGCGCTCCGGGGGAGCGGGGCTATGCACTCCGGCAGATCAAAGCAAGTTCAATATAACGCGGTTTCACCTATAATGCGGTAAGATTTTTTGGCTCCCGAGGACAGCGTTATATAGGGGTAGAGGTGTAGTTGAGAGAATATCGTTAGTAAAGCTGAACAGACTATGTTTTTAGTATTAAGGCCCCGATCTTGCAAGCTGTTCCATGTGGGCAGATCCTTGTGCCCATTTTCAGTGGGTTCTGTGCAGCCATAGGAGTCTGCTTAGAGATCTCAGTACAGGATCAGGATTTCAGTCATTAAGAATGAACCTGGATACCACAAGCATTTATGTTTACCTAGCATTGGCTAGCTCCTTTTCCTTTGAAACCCCATCCTCTCCAGTTTAATAATTTCCCATGTGGTACTGTGTCAAATGCTGATTCAGCCCAGATAGATTAATTTTGCTGCATTTTTCTTGCAAAAAAAAATGAGTGATCTTATCAGAAAGATATCAGATGTAAGTAATAGCAGAAATAATAGGGTTTTTGGTAGCATTTTATAAATTTTATCACTTTCCTGGGCCCTGTATGTATTATAAGCAAGGTATGTGTTCGTTTTATGTTTTATGTGTTATTGCCTGTTGTCCTAGTGCTTTGTATTTGGTTAATCAAGAGTTAATTCAGAGGGAGAATTAATTATAGAAATGTACATTCATACTGAGAGGTATGAATTAAAAGAATATTAAATACATTTTTCATTTATCTGACTTTTATAAACACATTTTTACATAACTGCTTTCTATTTGTTTTTCATGTTTATGTTCTTACTATTTTATATGAATTTAACCAAAAACTAACACAAATTAAATGATAAAAAAGAATAAAGTGAAAAGGTTGCATTCTGCATTTTAAATACAGTACAATCAATTTTATCTTAAAATGAGGACATACCATGTCTCTGTTTATAATTTGGTGATGCATCATAATTTTTTGCAGGAGGTGATTGTTATGTACCACAAAGGAGCATATTTGTTGGAGGGAAGCAAAGTGAAATATTAACTGGAGAAAAAGCATTATCTACGTCCAGACGTTCAGATGTGAAAGGTCTGAATCATTATTTTTATGTTTTGTAATTTTGGAAAACAGTTTTTGCTTCCTTTGTAATTAGACTGGACACTTGAGGCAGGACCTAAATGACATATGTTATATTCCACACACTTTAAGTGAATTGGTGAAGTCCCATCAACAATATGGTTTCTTTCATCATACTAATTGATGAAAGCACTTTAATTGGGTTAGGGCAGTCTTCCTCCCAATGACTTCAATATAACACTATCAGCTTGCTAGTTATCTTTATCTTCCTAAAGCCCAAAGGTCTAATCCTTGGAGGCGGTGATCACTCTCAATTCCAGTGAAAGTCGATGAGAATTGAGGGAGCATAGCATCTCACAGAATCGGGACCCTAATGAAAACCAGTATAAGGTCTTGATTCAGCTAAGCACTTGAGCACATGATTAAATCTACCTAAGAACTACTCTTGTATTTCAAATTAGGCACACGCTAAAGTACCTTGCTAAATTGGGACCATAATTTGCACTACAGAATATGTTTGGAAGAACACAAAATTTCCTTATCTGAATATATTGTTTTTTATGTATATGATTATTGTGGGCAAATCATTTCTTGCATATTATTTTTCTGTTGTTGAAATAAAAGATAAGAAGACAAATTCTGGCTATAAATCATAAGTAGGTTAAAAAGTAATGAAACTGCCTACATACATTGAAGTGGAAGTAATGCATTTCTCCTATATTTTGGCCTGAACTGATAGGAACAAAAGGTAGTGCTTATGCTGATCATCTGGATGTGAGAGCAGACAAAGCCCTGGATTCCTGTAGTGGAGCAGGGAACATAGGGTCATAGAGCTTGATAGCTGCCATGCAATGCAGGATGTGAGATTCTGTCTTTCCCTTACTCAATTTTCTTACTCTTGGTGTAAGCACAGAGGGAGACCTTTCTTTTATATGTTAAGCATCATAATTACCAGCTGACTGACAAGGCCAAGGACATATAAGGGTCAGTTATATGTTGCATAATAGCTCATTCCATAGTTGCCATGCTGTGTTTTGGGTGAACATGCATAAAATTCTGTTGTGGGTGTAACACACTCACTTTTGTAAAGGATCTCCTGCTCAAACAAGCTTACATAAAATCCATGGGTTATAGTTGGAGAACATATGTGTGGATTACAGCAAATATCTATACTCCTTAAAATATATGTTGTATTGGCTCAGATTTTTTGGCTTGCATATGGACACCTTTTGAGCCAGAATTTGGGCCAGAAATACCTGTTACGTACTCTAGTAACACCTAGTTTCCTAAAATAAGCTTGAGGTTTGCTGCCAAAATGTTGAGAACTTTTTTTTCTAACAGAATCAACATAACTTCTTGGAAGCATTATGATTTTGCTCTTAGGGATGATATTTACTGATATTCTTACTATAATTACTGTTTTCAGAATCGTTTTTTAAGCACATAAAAGAAAGGTCTGTATCCAACAGAAAGTGTATGTAAAATGTGAGGAAGTTATTCTTGTTTTAATTCACCACAATGCTTTACTACTTTAATGAGGGAATTTTACTGAATAATGTGTTTTTTCAAAAAATAAATTTGTCTTATTTTTCTCCCTTAGCAATGAGTCACACTGAGCCAGTAAAGAAGCGTCACTTTAAAGGAGTGAAGAAAAAGAAATGGATTTCTGAAGAACCAAAAAACTCATTCAGCATGTTTGCAGGCAAAGGTATTTTGAGAAATCATTTGGTTAATTTGTTTTAAGTTAATATCTCCCAGTCCCTAGAAGCTCACCCCCCTCACTAGGCATCAGAGCCCGAGCTCCAGCCCAAGCTGGAACTTCAAAGCACTGTCTCCACAGCTATTTTTAGAATGCTGGTGGAAGCCCCTTGGCTTGGCTATTGGAATCCCCTTAAGGTTGGGAGGCTCACTCCAAAACATTGTGTAGACATACTCTGTGTGCCCTTCTCTCTGACATAGTATGTCAGACATTGAATAGCATCTAGCAAGTTTAGCATAATATTGTTTTTTCCCCCTTGCAGCAATGCATGCTTCAAACCCAAAAGGTAAAGCAAATTGCCAACAAAATGATCAAAGCAAGGATGCTGAAAATACTTGTTATGTTCCATCTCAAAGAGCCACTGGGAGAAGCATTTCCTTGAATTCTCCAGAACCTGGAAGATCAATAAACACGACCTACAGTAATGTCAGTGTTACCAAAGAATCCAAGCTGAATCCGCCTACAGGTGAGCTCCTGATTACACAGGATTCCTTGCCTAGAAGAGCCGTATAATTGGTCATGTACCTCAGTTATGCCAGTGCAACTCCACCAGATTAGCATAACCAGCTAGACAAATTCAGACTGGAAATACAGCATTAATTTTTAACCGTGAAAGTAAATAACCACTTGAACAACTTACCAAGCATCATGGTGGCTTCTCCATCACTTAGAAACAGTGAGAGTAGTTAACCATTGGAACAGTTTACAGGGTCATTGTGGATTCTTCATCATAGACAATTTTAAGACTGGATGTTTTTCTAAACGATCTGCTCTAGGAATTGTTTTGAGGACATTCTATAGCCTGTACTATACAGGAGGTCAGACTAGATGATCACAATGGTCCCTTCTGTCTTGGAGTCTATGAAAAACCAAGAGCAGAATTTGACCCAATATAATTGTAATAAGCAGGTCTCATTGCAATATTTACAGGTAAAAATGGAAACTGTCATGGACTTCTGTGGAAGTTGCCAATTAAAATCAGACAGAATTCTCTTGAGCAGTAGTTCTGCCATCTTTAGAGGGTGCAGCACAAATCCACCTCCATGTCCAGTCAGCTCTGCTGTCTGAAGGAAAGAGATGAGTCCATGGCCTCACTCTCATCCTCACCATTTTCAACAGATAGTGCCCATTGGAGCACTGGCAGTGATGTGCAGTCCACAGCTGTAGTCCTCAAAAGGATTTTGACCAGTTCCTGAACAGGAGCACAGGAGAGAGAGGACCCGTCACCTGTGTGAACCCATCCACAGATTGATCAGAATCTAGTTTTGTCCAAGAATCGAGTATTGAATTTTACTTGGTGTACTATATTCTGGGATCAATTTACTAGATGACTCTACTGTACCTTTCCTTTTCCGTTAGTGATATGACCCAGAGACATAAATCTGTCTTTTGAGAACTTTGTCATTCAGCGTGGCATCTTCTTGACGTTTCTTAACAGTAGCATTGAGCATTTTGTCATAGTTTGATCAGATCTCTCCTTATGTCCTCCATCTGGCATGTAAAGAGATTTAAAATGAAGGTTCCCCAAGATGTATTAGGTTAGAGTCTACTGAGGGAGTTGGATTTATTGGAATTCTTTGCTAGGCACATGTTCTGTAGAATTTTTCTCTGCCCACCCAGGCTAAGGTCTGGGCAGCAGAAGTCATTTTGTGCCATGTATTACTGGTTAGTTCCTATGGTGTGCACTCTGACTTCATTTTGTTAAATCCTCAAAGATGTACATTTAGTCAATGGTTTGGGAATTATGATTATCTCAGAGCATTTGTTTTCTGCTGTGGTTGTTAGTCAAGCATTTCTGTTCTGTCTCATTCCCGCTTCTCTTTCTGTTCATGGAAAGGAAATTTAAGCTATTCGATAGATAGGACAAAGGGGGCAATACACCTGACTTTAGTGTAATTGGATATCCAGTTTTATAATGTGCTTAATCTTTTGAAGGGTTTAAGAAACTTTATTTTGTAACCCAATGTTCCATCTTTAACTCCACTGCCTATACTGAATATTAATCCCAGACCTTGTCTAGTTGAACAACTCAGTAGTGAAAATCTCAGTTCCCTTCCACCAAACATGTCTTATTCAACCGTTTTTTTTCCTAAACAGGAGACCAAGGAACCACCTTTGCACAAGATAATTTTATCCCTGATTCACCAGTGTTTTGCTGGGGTTTTGTTATGATCTATTTCCTATTGTAAAAATGGGGATTTCTGAAACTTCTTGTGCCAGTTTTAAATCTATTGGGGATTTTCATGATGTACAGGTTGATTGGCTGTTACTTTCTGTTTCTGTCATTCTGACAACTGAATTAGCTTCTGTTTGCAGTCCTTCCAGGATGGCAACAATGACATTTTCCTTGTGCTCTTCTTCCATCTTTGAAGTATGTTCACTGCCTTCCTGGCAGTGCCTAGTACCATTTAGGTACTTGAGAAGAAAGTTTCAGGTCAAATTCTGAAGTCTTGTCTTTGTTTCTGGCATTTTGTTTCAGGGCATAGCTTTAAGTTTACTCTGTGGCCTTCTCTCTGTTTTAAACTTGTTGATGCTGTCTTACTCCACAAACAAAATCATAATTATTACTTGCAATTCAGCATCTTGTCTTTTCCTCTCCCATATGATTGCAGTCTCCAGGGGTTAATTTGGGGATTAACGTCATTCTTTTGGACAAACTATCATCTCTTATTCCAGCCACAAATTCAGTTGTAAATAATTTAAACTGTAGTCCACTCTCCATCAGAGAGTCACTAAAAATACTACAGAGTCATTACAAATTCTTTTAGTTTCCTTTTTTCCTGATTTCTCTTGTTGAATTTTGCTCTGAGAAAAGAATGTTCTTAGACATAGGTAATTACAAAGATTCAGTCCACTCCCACCCCATTTCTCTCACTCCCATTCTCCTTCCTCAGCCAGTCACTGTTGGTCTCACCCAGCTCCCAGTCTCCTTACCAAGCTAGCCCAAGTTTCCCCCGTAGCTTCCAGTCCTAGTCTCCTTGAAAATCCCAACCATCCCTTCCTAACTCTCAGTCCCAGTTTCCCTTTACCCTCCCTCCCACTGTTGCCAGCCTCTAGTACCAATTTCCATTTTGCCCTTCTCCAGTTCCTTCTCCCAATCTACTACTCCCCTGTCCTACCCTCCACAGGTCCTGCTGTTGTCCCATCTGCATTCAAATCAGGCAGCTTCTTCCTTGAGGCTGCCAGGGCCAGTAAGAGGCCCAGCAGAGACAAGTTCCCTGCTCTCAGTTCAGATACTCAGACCTAGTATGTCCCATAGCAGGCCAGAAATGCAATTGTGGGGAAAGTAGGCTCAGCCCAGGGCTGGAGCATACTTAGGGTAGATGGATTTTAGCTGCTAAAATCTAAGAAGTCTCCACTGTACATGTGCAAATTGTGATTTCCAAAGGCTTGCAACTTGGCCAAATTTGAGCAATTGTTCACAGGGATTCAAAAGACATGTGCTGCCAAAGGCCACCGTGCTGCCAAATTTCAAGTCCCTGTTCCGAAGCATAGGGGTGTTCAAACTTCTCAAAAATAAGGTCATCAGATTTTTTTTAAATGGACAAAGCAAAAGAAGGTATTTTCCCCCTAGTCTTGTTCTTGGAAAAGGCTGAATCATTTTGGCTGAAATTTTCCAAAAAACATTCAGCCTGAGATACCCAGTATGGAAAACTGCAACCCAAACAGTTAAAGTTTGGCAAAGTTATAAGCAACTGAAGACAGTGTCTTATAATGGGAAGTGTCAAGCAACCTTAATGATAGGCCATGCTACCAGCTCTGCCTGTAATATTAATGTGTTCATCTGGTTCACCACTTCTTTCTCATTTTGTTACCCCCACAAAACAAACCCAGGGTACCCCCCACAATAGCTTGCTTATTGTCCCTTCCTGGGCTTACTAGTGATTCCCTTTACTTGACCGCTTTTGCAAGGAGAAAGGGGGCCCGCCTAGTGAAATTGCCAAGGCTTACCAAGGATCTCCCTATGCCATTCAGGAAATTTCCCAGAAAAAACTAGATCTGTTCACCCCTGGGAGGACACAGATATAGCCTTCCGCTCAAAGTATTGACAACCAGTCAGTTATTTTGCAAAACAAAGTATTTTCTTTATTTAGTGTAACCAATCTTTCATAACACAATTAATCTAAACCTAAATTAAAATATAAACATAAATCCCTTAGCACAGGTATACAAGTTAAAGTACCTGAGACCATAATGTCATACAGTTAGAATGGCTTAAGTGATTATGTTCTGCACATGGTGTCATATGCAGGACACTGACAGCAATCTTAATAAACTCTAAGTTTTAGACATAATAACAGACATATACACCACAGACACCCATCTTTATTAATCCAAGCATACACATTCATTAAGCCTACTTCTATTCTATATCCTATACTATAGCTAGCATGCTTACACTCCGTAGGCTTCTCTCCCTCGGCTCTGTCTAAGGATCCTTCTGCTCTGTCTCAGTGGCACCGCTGCTACTTCTGTTACCCTGGGGTTGCCTCTTCACTGTTCTTCGCTCTCTTAGATTTCTTATTTTTATTCTAATCTTCTCCTGGCTCCCTGTCTTGACTGACTTTTGCCTGTTAACCCTCTCTCCTTTTATATAGTTTTTGATCTGTTCTGATTGGCTTGTTCATCTTCAAGTGCTTGCTCATGTCGATTCCATTCTAGGTGTGTGCGTGCCCACATGCACAGTCGTCATAGATTTTTGCCTTAGCGGTATCTGTAGGGTCGGCTGTAGTGCCCTCTTGAGTGCCATGCTATTGCACCAGTATATTAGGCACCACCGGCCCTACGTCCTCTCAGTTCCTTCTTACTGCCTGTGAAGGTTGGTCGGAGCGCCTCATCTAGCATTGCAAAAGCATTAGCAGTTCCCAACAGCTATTGTTACCTCCTTTGTTTTATAGTTCTTAGGTACTTAGTTAGCCATTAGTTTAAGTGTTAGTTGTGTAACCCTTCTGCCAGGTGGAGCTGGCAGCAATCAGAGCCAGGTTCAATATTTAGGGGTTCCTTTTCAACAACACAACACTGAACTGGCTCAAGCCCCCACCCAGTAACCTGGGAAAATTACACATCACGCCTGTGTGCCTCTGAGAGGTAATACTTCCCCATTCACAAGCACAGAGTCTGAGTGTAGAAAAGAAACTTTTAATGAAAGAAGGGAAGTCACCTGACATGAATTAGGGAAAATGCCTCAAGCAGGATTCATAATCATAAAAATGTGAGAAGGACACCAACCGCAGAGTGCATGGGGCAGCGCCTTCCGCCTCATGTTCTTGAATTCTACAACCAAAAGTTCCTTTTCTATGCTCCTCTCTGATCCCTCACCATACCCAACTCACAGTGGTTGTCCTTGGTCAATGAGGACCCGGGGTTCAGAAGTGCATCTGTGTGAGTTCACCTCCAACCTGGGGAAGAAGGCACCTTGCTTGTGCTTGCTCCGGCTGGCCGCCCCGCCAGCCACTGTTCCTCGTC